CTGCGCCACCAGGGAAGCCCTAAAACTTTTTATGAGTCCATACGATACTCAAAAGAAAAGAAAAATTCTGAGTGTGTAAAGGGAAGAAAAGTCAAAGCTCATCTTCCCAGAAAAATATCAGCTAATAAATGTTGAAGAAATGACAGAATTAGAAAATTACCAGTTTGCAACTAACAATGTACTCACCAGTTTAGTCAAAGATCATAATGGATGCTAAAATATTAGATTAAAAAAAAAAAGACTGCTAGAGAAGAAGCCAGAGCCTCAACTATCACCCCATGATTTACTAATTTACAACAGTAAAAATGTATCTTTACATTGGAGAGATCTGGTGGATATCACACCTTAATCAAGTGATCAAACATGGCATAACCAACAGTCAAACAGTAAGTGGGATGCAATTAGAAGTATGAAATATCACATATGTAATACTCCTACCAAGATTTAACTTAAATCTAATCATGAAGAAATAATTTTAAAATTGTGGAATGTAGCACAACAAGCTTAAGTTCCTCAAAAAGAATCAATCTCATAAAAAACAAAAGATAGGGAATATTCTAGATTAAAATAATACACATAGCTAGCAATCAGGTGTAACACATGTTATCTGTTTGGATTCTACATTAAACGAAAACAAAATAAATTGAAATAAAAGATAATTTTAGGACAATAGGGAAAATATAAGTATGGGCTGTATATTAATGATATTACTGATATACCGCTTTTTTAAAAAAAATAAATAATTAATTTTATTTTTGGCTGTGTTGGGTCTTCATTGCTCTGCGTGCGTGAGTTTTTTCTAGTTCTGGCGAGCAAGGGCTACTCTTCGTTGCGGTGCACGGGCTTTTCATTGCGGTGCCTTCTCTTGTGGTGGAGCACGGGCTCTAGGCGCACAGCCTTCAGTATTTGTGGCACACAGGCTCAGTAGTTGTGGCTCGTGGGCTCTAGAGCACAGGCTCAGTAGTTGTGGCGCACAGGCTTAGTTGCCCCGCAGCATGTGGGATCTTCCCAAACCAGGGGTCGAACCCGTGTCCCCTAGCAGGCGGATTCCTAACCACTGCACACCAGGGAAGTCCTACTTATTTTCTTAGATATGATAATGGTATTAAGATTAGGTAGGAGAGTATCCTAGTTCTAAGGTGATAACTTCTGAAATGCACAGGGGTGAATGAATGTCTGCAACTTACTTTCAAAATTTTCACCGGACAAAAATTTTTTCCCCTGCAAAAATGTAAATGTGTGTATAGAGAGAATTAAAGCAAATGTGGCAAAATGTTGATAAATTTAGGTAAATTTTAATTTTGCCAGAGATTTGAGTATTTTCAAACAAACAAACAAAACAAACAAAAACACTGTGAAAAAAATAAAACAGTTTAATCTGGGAAGGTAGTCCCCTTGTATGCCTATGCAAGATTTACTGATCTAGGGCTTAAGGGAGGTGAATTAGGTAATTTCTAAGGTATGTTCAGGTTGGAAAGTGCTAATACTGTGTTTTTACAGAGAAAACATGACTACATGTCTATTAAAAAGTATTTTAAAGAAGTATTATTTCACTTCCCAAATTTCTAGTTTATAATAATACCATCACTACTATAGCAATTATGATGTCATTTGTAATTTCTACACTTTAAGATACGTTAATTCCCAATTTTCATCACAAAATTGTATTTTCCTAATCTCTTCCTTGAACTCTGATAGTATTTACAGTTTGAGACACACATTTCCTAAGGGAAGGCTATATCATTTTCCACTCTCAGTAACAGAATAGAGGGATATCTCAGAACTTGAGATAACAGGTCTCCTGCAAAGTTTTCCTGGTAAAATATATATAACATAAAATTTCCCATTTTAACCAATCTTAAGTGTGCAGCTCAGTGGTATTAAGTACATTCACACTGTTGTACAACCATCACTATCATCCAACTAGAGAACGCTTCATCTTGTAATACTGAAACTCTGTATCCATTAAACAATAACTGCCACCAGCCCCTGGCAACCACCATTCTCCATTCTCTCTCCATGCATCTGACTACTCTAGGTACCTCTTATAAGTGGAATCAAACAGTATTTGTCTTTTTCTGACTGATTCATTTCACTTAGCATAATATTTTCAAGGTTCATCCATATTGTAGGAGGTGTCCAAATTCCTTCTTTTTTAAGGCTGAATAATACTCCATTGTATGAATGGGATATAATTTTTTGAAGTATCTTAAATCTTGTTATTTATTAAAATATATTAAATCTTGTTATTAAAAGTCCATCAGGCCTGTATTAAAGAACAGTCAAGTGAGAAATAGTAATTGCTAATGAAGCCACTTTATTATCACTAGAGAGAGCTAGAGCAACAGAGCTGCTGCCAGATACAAACACATTTTCCTTAGCCATAAGACTGGACATAACCAAGCTTCTATAAAAAATAGAACGGAATGTAAATGTGGTTATGGATTCCCTCCCAATGCTTCTCCATTTCTAAGTGGCAAACTGAACTTTCATTGAACTTTCATAAATCATGATTTATAATTCCTGACAATATACAGTGATGGCCTGATATGTTCTACTCCGCATTAGGAGCCAAATCACATGTGGAAAGTTTTTAATCATCTCTGTTAATGCAATCTTTATTTTTTATTATATTAAAAAATCACTTTTCGGACTTCCCTGGCGGTCCAGTGGTTAAGACCCTGCGCTTCCACTGCAGGGGCCACGGGTTCAATCCCTGGTTGGGGAATTAAAATCCCACATGCCTTGGGGCCAAAAAACAAAACAAAACAAAACGAATTTTATTTTTTTCTAGGAAAAAAAGAGGCAAGAGGGCTTCCCTGGTGGTGCAGTGGTTAGGAGTCCACCTGCCGATGCAGGGGACACGGGTTCGTGCCCCGGTTCGGGAGGATCCCTCATGCCGCGGAGCGGCTGGACCCGTGAGCCACGGCCGCTGAGCATGCACGTCCGGAGCCTGTGCTCCGCAACGGGAGAGGCCACAGCAGTGAGAGGCCCGCATACCACAAATTAAATAAATAAATAAATAAATAAATAAATAAATAAATAAATAAATAAATAAATAAATAGAGGCAAGAGGCTCTTAGTTTAATCATGATGGGTGACTGCAGAGAAAAGAGTATAGAAAACAGGACTTAAAAGACAAATGCAGTGACTTCCCTGGTGGCACAGTGGTTAAGAATCCACCTGCCATTGCAGGGGATACGGGTTCGATTCCTGGTCTGGGAAGATCCCACATGCTGCGGAGCAACTAAGCCCATGCGCCACAACTACTGAGCCTGCATGCCACAACTACTGAAGCCCATGCGCCTAGAGCCTGTGCTCTGCAACGAGAAGCCAGTGCAATGAGAAGCATGTGCACCACAACGAAGAATAGCCCCCACTCGCCACAACTAGAGAAAGCCTGCGCACAGCACTGAAGACCCAACACAGCCAAAAATAAAAAAATTTTAAAAAGACAAATGCATAAAAAATAATTATAAATGTATGTTTTAGGGCACAAAATGAATAAAGATGTAATTTGTAATTTCAATAATATAAAAGGAAGGCATGGAGCTTTACAGGAATAGCATTTTTGTATGTGACTGAAGTTAAGTTGGTATCAATTCAAATTACAGGGTTATATCTTTAGGAAGTTATATGTAATCTCCATGGTAACCACAGATAAAATAGCTATAGAATATACACAAAAGGGAATGAGAAGGGAATCAAACAGGTAACTACAAGAAGATCAGCTAAGTACAAAAGAAGGCAGTAAGGAGGAAATGAGGGACAAAAAGCTATAACACATATGGAAAACTAAATGAAAAGCATAAATCCTTTCTTATTAGTAATTACTATAAATGTAAATAGATGAGACTTTCCAGTCAAAAGGTAGAGAGGAGCAAAATGAATATAAAACATGATCTAACTACATACATGCTGTCTACAAGAGATTCACTTTAGATCCAAAGATGGGAACTGGATGCACATGAAAGGATGGAAAAAGATATTCCATGCAAATAGTAGCCAAAAGAGAGATAAGGAGATTATACTAATATCAGAAAAAGAGACTTTAAGTAAATAAATAAAAAACTGTAACAAGAGACAAACATTAAATATTGACAAGAGAGTCCATTCACCATAAAGCTATAACAATTATAAAAAAATATTCAGGGCTTCCCTGGTGGCGCAGTGGTTGGGAGTCCGCCTGCCGATGCAGGGGACACGGGTTCGTGCCCCGGTCAGGGAGGATCCCGCGTGCCGCGGAGCGGTTGGGCCCGTAAGCCATGGCCGCTGGGCCTGCGCGTCCGGAGCCTGTGCTCTGCAGCGGGAGAGGCCACAACAGTGAGAGGCCCGTGTACAGCAAAAAAAAAAAAAAACAAAACCAAAATATTCACCAAACATCAGAGGACCCAAAATATATGAAGGAAACACTGACAGAATTTAAGAGAGAAACAGACAGTTGTACAATAACTGTTGGCAGAACAACAACATAGAAGATCATTAAGTATTAGAACAACATTATAAACCAATCAGATCTAACAGAAATAGAAATAACACTCTACCCAACAACAGCAGATTACATAGTCTTCTCAAGTGCACATGGAACATTCTTTAGGACAGACCATATGTTAGGCTACAAAATAAGTCAATAAATTAAAAAGGATTGAAACCATACAGAATATCTTTTCTGATCACAAAGGAATGAAACTAGACATGAAGGAAAACTGAAAAATTCACTTATGTGTGGAAATTAAACAACATACTCTACTCTTAAGCAACCAATGGGTCAAATAAAAAAATCAAAAGGGAAACTGGAAAATACTTTGAAATGAATGAAAACAAAAACAGAACAAAACTTACGTGATGCAGTAAACGCAGTGCTAAGAGGAAAATTTTTATGTGAAAACACATAAATTAAAAGAGAAGAAAGATCCCAAATCACTAACTAACTATACAATGAATACTCAGTGGTACAGCCACTGTGGAAAAGTTTGGTGGTTCTTTTAAAAGCTGCATGTATACTCGTGTTTCTCTTCATCATCTAATGTATCTTTTGCCTTTTACTAAAGATTCATCTGGGGAGGGAAAAGCATGACTGCTGCTACAATTTTTTGAGGCCTTCTGGGGATAAACAAAAGAAATTAAAAGTAAAAATAAAAATAAATAAAAGCTAAATGTAGAATTACCATATGGTCTAGCAATTTCACCCCTAAGTTTATACACAAAGGACTGAAAACAGGGACCTGAACAGATAAATGTATGCCAATGTTCACTGCAGCATTGTTCACAATACCCAAAGGCAGAAACAACCAAAGTGCCCGTTAACAGAGAAACAAAATGTGCTATCTACATACAATGGAATATTACTCAGCCATAAAAAGGAATGAAGTTCTGATACATGCTACAACATGAATGAAAGTTAAAGAGATGTTAAATAAAATAATCCAGACCCAAAAACACAAATACTGTGTATGCTTCCATTTACATGGAGTACCCAGAAGAGGCAAATTATAGAGACTGAAAGTACATTAGACATTTATTATGTGCTGTGGAGAGTTTTAGAAGGAGTGGGGAGTTTTTGCTTAATTATTATAGAGTTTCTGTTTGAGGTAATGAAAAAATTTTGGAAATAGACAGTGGTAAATGTTGTACAACATTGTGAATATAATTAACACCACTGAAGTGTAACCTTAAAAATAGCTAAAATTTTATAAGAATTTTACAATTTAAAAAATTAATAATGTAATATACCAAAAACTATTGACTTGTACACTTGAAATAGGTTAACTGTATGATATGTGAATTACATCTCAATAAAACTATTTATAAAAAAAAGAGGATAGGAAACATCTTTTAGGAGACAGGAAACAACTCTTTCGGAGACTGAGACGCAGAAGAAACAACTAAGATTTACTTTGAGTGCCTATTGTATGCCAGTGGTTTTACATATATCATCACACTTGGGTAGCGTGGATGCGATATCAGAATTCATACTTTAGAAACAAAACAATTCAGTTTGAGATGACGAAAAAGTTCTGGAGGTGGGTAGTGGTGTTGTCAGCACAACAAGGTAATGTACTTAATGCTACTGAATGGTGCACTTAAAATGATTAAAATAGTAAATTTTATGCCATGTATATTTAACCACAATATAGTTAATTAAAAAATTTAAAACATGAAGCTACTCTTGTTTTAAAAAATGTTACTCTGGACATTGGTCCTGGCAATGATTTTTTTGGATATGATACCAAAAGCAAAGGCATGAAAAGCAAAGATAAGCAAACTAAGAAGCTTCTGCACAGCACAGGAAACCATCAACAAAACGAAAACTACTAAACGGGAGAAAATATCTGCAAATTATATCTGACAAGGGGTTAATATCCAAAATTTATAAAGGACTCACTCATACAACTCAAGAGCCAAAAACCCAAACAATCTGATCAAAAAATAGGCAGATGGTCTAGACATTTTTCCAAAGAAGACATACAGAAGACCAACAAGTACATGAAAATATGTTCAATATCACTATCAGGCAAATGCGAATCAAAACCACAATGAGCTATCACCTCACACCTGTCAGAATGGCTATTATCAAAAAGACAAGAAATAACAAGTGTCGTTGAGGCTGTGGAGAAAAGGGAACCCTTGTGCACTGCTGGTGGGGATGTAAATTGGCACAGCCACTATGGAAAGCAGTATGGAGGTTCCCCAAAAATTAAAACTAGAACTACCATACGATCTAACAATTCCACTTCTGGGTATTTATCTGAAGAAAACAAAAACACTACCTTCAAAAGATATCTGCACCTTCATGTTCACTGCAGCATTATTTACAATAGCCAAGATAAGGAAACAACCTAAGTGTCCGTTGAGAGATGAATGGATAAAGAAAATGCTATATATGTAAGCATATACACACAAACACACATACACAAATACACAATGGACTATTATTCAGTCATACAAAGAATGAAATCTTGCCATTTGCGAGAATATAGACAGACCTTGAGGGCATTACGCTAAGTGAAGTAAGTCAGACAGAGAAAGACAAATACGGAATGATCTCGCCTGTATGTGGAACAAACAAATGAGGGAGTTCCCTGGTGGTCCAGGGGTTAAGAATCCGTCTTCCAATGCAGGGGATGCAGGTTCGATCCCTGGTGGGGGAACTAAGATCCCACATGCCACGGGGTAACTAAGCCCGCGGGCCACAACTAAAGAGAAGCCTACAGCCGCAATGAAGAGCCCAAATGTTGCAACGAAAGATCCTGCATGCCGCAACGAAGATGCCTCATGTTGCAACTAAGACCCAATGCAACCAAAATTAAATAAGTAAATATTAAACAAAAAGCAAAGGACAAACAAATGAACACCCCCCCTACACACACACACACACACACACACACACACACACACACACACTCCGGCAACCAAGCTCACAGACACAGAGAACAGACTGGTGGTTGCCAGAGGCAAGAGGTACAAAATGGGTGAATGGAGTCAAAAGCTACAAACTTCCAGTTATGAAAGAAGTAAGTCATGGTCATGTAGTATACAGCATGGTAACTATAGTTAATAATACTGTATTGCATATATGAAAGTTGCTAAGAGAGTATGTTGCAAAAGTTATCATCATAAGAAAAAAAGTTTTTTGTTTTTTTTTTGTGGTACGCGGGCCTCTCACTGTTGTGGCTTTTCCCGTTGCGGAGCACAGGCTCCGGACGCACAGGCTCAGCGGCCATGGCTCACGGGCCCAGCTGCTCCGCGGCATGTGGGATCTTCCCGGACCGGGGCACGAACCCACGTCCCCTGCATCGGCAGGCGGACTCTCAACCACTGCGCCACCAGGGAAGCCCAGAAAAAAAGTTTTTTAACTATGCATAGTGACAGTTTAACCAGACTTATTGTAGTGATTATTTTGCAATATTCACAAATACCTAATCATTATGTTATACATCTGAAGCCACTATAATTTTGTATGTTAATTATACTGCAATAAATAAATAAATACTTCACTCAAGTTATTTTCATCATTTTCTTAGTGATTGAGATAAAAGCAGGTAAACTGAAATTTTCACCTTGTTTTGCTAAAAATGGTCTGTGTGACTTGAGCAAGTCATTTAACCTTTTAATAGCTTCAGTTTCTCATCTGTCAAATAAAGGGTTAGGTCTAGCTGAAATGAGGGAGGCTGAGTGTGGATGGGAACAAGGGACATATGGGAATCCCTGAACTTTCTGTTCCATTTTGCCTAAAACTGCTCTAAAAAATAGAGTTTATTAACAAATAAAAATTCAAAACCACTTCATACAGGGAATGGTGTGAGGTTCAGCATTCATTCAGTCCACACTCCTATATTTAAATTGAATTTAGAACCTAGAATGTTCCTAAAGCATTTCAGGGGAAAATTAACCATATTCTGGTGTTTAATCCAACCTTAACCACTAGATTATCTATAACAAATAAATTTTAATCCACTACCCTTTGAGCCTCAGTTTCTGACAAGCAGCATGATTCAGTGGTAAAACAAGAATGGTGAGACCTCTAAGTGTTCAAAACCCCAGTAATGATTTCGATGATAAATTTTATAAACTTAGTAAGTTCCTTAACTTTTCTGTGTCAATTTCTTAAATAGTACATAGTAACCCTTACTTTACCATTTCCCACAGATTTAATACGAAAGCATTCTGAAAATTTAAATAATATATCAAATGTAAGATGGCACCATGCTTTCATTTTATTTCCAAAGATACATACTATTTTGAGGAAATGACAGCTAAGTGTAAACATTATGTGTTATACATGTAATATAAATAATAATATAGTATTATATAATATATAATAAATACATCTATATTTTACATATATAATTCCCATGCAAACAAGCAATATTCTGTAAGCTTGAAAATTAGTTATCCCATTTCCTGTAATAGATTTAGTGCTCAAAAGTAGCCCATAAATCAAAGGAAGTATATGAGGAGAGTTTCTTATTTTAAAAAACTTAGAAGTCACAGTATCTGAGAGCCAGGATAACCTTAAGATATGAACTGTGTAGTTCAACAGCTTCACTTTGTACATCAAGCTTCATTTTTACCACTCCCAGAGAAACTAAGTAATCTGCCCAAAACGTTACACGACAGTGGCAGTACTTTTAGGAGTACTAAAAGTAGAAACCTTACCCCACAAACGTAGAACTAAGGAGGGCTCCCTTCAAAGTAGTGTTAATTTTTCGATATTTTGCTCTTCATCATAATGTATACTCTAAAGTCTGAAGTTCACTCTCCAATTCACCTGATTTATATCTGATATTTCATATTCTTAAAACTCCTATTAGATAAAATGTAAATTCCAAAAGTAATACAGCATTTTTATAACTTCACGCAATAAAGACACATAGAAAATAAAAAGTAAAAACCTCATTACCCCATTCCAAATCCTATAACCTAGAAGGGTATAGCAGGCACAATAATATGCAACCCCCTCCCCAAATCAAAATCCCCAGAAGCTGCGAATATGTAGAAGAAATTGAGGTTTCTAATCTGTTGATTTTGAGATAGGGAGATTATTCTGGATTATCTGGCTGGGCCCAACTTACTCACAAGGGTCCTTATAAATGGAAGAGGAACAAAAATGAGGCAGTCAGTGGAAAAAAAAAAAGTGAAAACAGAACCAATGTTGAAGTGATTCAATGTGAGGATTCAACTTGTCACTGCTGGTTCTGAAGACAGAAGGGGCCCCAAGCCAAGGAATTCTGGAAAGGCAACAAAAAGAATTCTACCCTAGAGCCTCCAGAAGGAACACACAGCTATGCTAACACCTTGATTTTAGCCTAGAGAGATCCATTTCGACTATAAATTTGACTTGCTTTAAGCAACTTAAATAATTTATGACAGCAGGCATAGAAAACTAATACACAGGTTAATAGTTTGATGACTATAATACTAAGACATTCTTTGGTGCCTATATACATGTACATAGTAATAGAGGTTTTCTTAAACCAAGGAGTACTGGCTGTACCACTTTTATCTGGTGTATTAATGACATCATCACACACCTAGGAATACAAAAAAAACCATCAGGATCATCACTAACTCTAGCCCAATCCTTTCATCCAATCAGTCTTTAATTCAT